ACATCCGTTGTTTCCCCCGGTCGAACACGAAGGTTGAATGCCTCAATCCCATGGTATCACCCCCGTAAAAGTCATGGAAAGACATATATGCAGCAGCCACACACATAATTTTGAAGTCACCATGAGAACCAAAACACAACATCTTTTTGCAAGGTCGCAACAAATTCACGTCGGAGAAAAGCTCGGGCCTGCGCAATAGAGTAACTACCAATCGAACACCAAATTCGTCCAACAAATGAATTTTGATGCCCGAAACATGATTGAATTCCTCCAGCCCAGGAGGTTCCTCATCGAAAATCGGCGGACCGTCGTAGAGATCGTCCACTTCGACGGTAAGACGCTCCTCCACCTCTTCGGGTCCTTCATCAAACAAAGGCGGACCATCGTACAACGGCCCGTCAACCTGCTCTTCGTCGAATTTGGGGATGTTAATACGAAACGGGCCCTCCCATTGACCATATTTGCGATCAAGTCCCCAATCGTATCGGGCTCCACAATCGCCAGCAAAGTCGCCATCCTCGATGCCGTTCAGAGGTGGCGGGAACCGCTGCCGGGGCGCCCCGACATGGCTGTGTCCCCCACAACTTCCTCTGTCTCCCCCGCGAAAGCCACGGCCCACAGCTCCATCGCGGTTCGTTTGCAATTCCGAAACAACCACGTTGTTAAGCGTCAAATGCAAATCCTCGATCCCCGTCGAAAGATCGGCAAACCAATCCGTGAAACGCACGTCCAACTCTTCAAATCGGTAGTCAATATGTTGAAACCGATCGTAGAAGATTGCATCACGTTGTTCATTTGCGACATCTTTTCGTCCCGGCGACATCGCGATCGTACTGACTGCTGATACCAACTGATGTAGGGAAAAGCGTACGAATGGGACGATAAAAGGAGATACTCTCTCCAAAACACGGGATACTCTCCCAAAAAAAAACACGATATCTTATTTCATTCAATATTCAACTCAATAAAACAATAGATGAAAAGTCCTTTAAATAAGACTCCTAAACCTATTACTAACTTGCCCAACAAGACAAGATCTCTTATAATATTATATAATTCATAACTTATTCATTAAGATACCTAATAATAATAATAGTAATAATAATAATAATAATAATAATTATAGTAATACTAATCTACACCAGTGAGTCTCATAACCTTTGCCTTCCGCGGTCCTGTTCAACACTTAACATAAGTGCTAGTGTAATCCTTCAGTCAAAGACCAACTGAATCCGGAATACACTACAGTCTTTTTCCAAGTGGGGTCTCACTGCCAGTCTAGACTGTGAACGAATGGTTTAGTCTTATAAGGAACCGATAGGTGATCTTTCCGTTCGAAACTCTTCGAACCACACTATCTCAATATAAGACATGGAGTATGTATTGCATAAATAAATAAACTGCAAACATATGTACTTTGACCGAAACATGATTGCCAGATCAAAATGGAATTGATAAATACTGCAAAACACAGCTTTTACAGCATACCTCTAACATGATTGCCCTGTCGAACTCCTCGGGGTCTTCCTATAGGACCATAACACGCTTGCTAGCTCATCGACCCAAGCACCAGATGCTTTTTCCAGCCTCTTCTTTAATCCCTGTAGGATGGTTCTGTTTGTCACTTCAACTTGTCCGTTCGCTTGCGGGTGCGCGACGGAAGCGAACCGCTGCTTAATTCCCATGTCGAGGCACCATGTTTGGATTCGCTTTCCCTGGAATCGCGTTCCGTTGTCTGAAATTAAAACCTTTGGTATCCCGAATCGACAGCAGATATTTTTGAACAAGAACTGTATCATCTTGTCTTCGGTAATCTTGGCCAGAGGTTCCGCCTCCACCCATTTGCTGAAGTAGTCGACAGCGACTACCATGAACTTCCTTTGACCTGTCCCTATCGGCAGTGGTCCTACCAAGTCGATTCCCCATTGTGCGAAGGGGATCAGACAATTGATAGTTGTCATTGCTTCGGCTGGGATATGGGGGATATGACCATGGCGTTGACATCGATCGCATTCTTGTACCAGCTGTTCGGCCGCTTTCCGTATCCTAGGCCAGTAATAGCCCGCTCGAAGAGCTTTGCCTGCTAGAGCTCTCGATCCTACATGCGACCCGCAACATCCTTCGTGGATCTCTCTTAAGACATGATTCCCTTCTTCTTCAGAAACACATCGCAGGTGGGACCCGACCATTGATTTCTTATACAAGACTCCTTCGATTTCAAAATATTTACTCAAATATCGGGCTGTCTTTTCTACCTCCTGTTTGTCTCCCTCCTGTACTCGGTCTTGCAATAGTTCACGGATTGCTTTTCTCCAATCCTGCTTTTCTTCGACCTCCATTGTTTCCTTTAGAGCGCTCCCCTCCAAATGCAGGGTGGTGATTTGATTTCCTATCTTTCCTTCATTTGAACTTGCAATCCTTGCGAGCCAATCGGCTCGCTTGTTTTCTTCTCGAGGTACTTGTGTTAGTTCGAATTTTGCCAAATTTTGTACCAAACTCTGGATCTCTTCGACATATTTCAACATTCGATCCTCCTTAATTTTGCAGTTTCCCAATACTTGCCCAACGACAAGCTGTGAGTCGGAATGTGCCACGATCTCCGTTGCCCCACCTCCGATCGCCAGTTGAATCCCTTTAATCAAGGCTTCATATTCTGCTTCGTTATTCGAGGCTTTAAATCCCATTCTGATAGCGAAGTCGAGTTGCTCACCTTCAGGGGATACTAGGACGACTCCAATACCAGATCCCTTGGCCGACGAGGATCCGTCGACGTGCATTATCCATTTCTTGCTTTCTCCTTTGGTACCCTCTTGGATAAAGTCGGCTAGAGCTTGGGCCTTTATAGCCCGTCGAGGTTCGTATTTGATGGAAAATTCGCTAAGTTCGACCGCCCATTTTACGAGTCGACCCGACACGGTAGGTCGACCCAATGTCTCACCCAGCTGGAAATTTGTCCTTACTATTATCACATGGTTTAGGAAGTACGGTCTCAATTTTCTGGCTGTGAGCACCAACGTTAATGCGGCCTTCTCAACCTCTGGATATCTCGTTTCTGCGCCCTGGAGCACTCGACTCGTATAATAGATCGGTTGTTGGGCCCCCTCAGCTTCCCGTAGCAACACAGAACTCAAAGAAAAGATTTCCACCGAGATGTAGAGCACCAACTCGTCGCCCGGCTCCGGCTTTGTTAACAATGGCAGCTCGCTCAGAAATTCCTTCAATTTTTCAAATGCCATCTGCGCTTCGTCGCCCCACTGGAAAGCTTTTTTCTTCAGTAACTTGAAAAAAGGGAAACTCCTTTCCGCCGCCCGAGCTATGAATCGGCTTGGGCCTGCAATTCGACCCGTCAGGACTTGTACTTCTCTAACATTCTTTGGTGGGGTCATGTCGAGTATGGCTTGCACTTTATCCTTATTCACTTCAATGCCTCTTTCAGTTACGATGTAGCCCAGGAATCGCCCCGCCCTTACTCCAAAGGCACATTTGCTCGGATTCAGCTTCATCCCAAACGTTCTTAATATCATAAACGCTTCCCTTAAGTCCTCCACATGCGAGATTGAGGATCAACATTTCACCAAGATATCATCCACGTAAACTTCCATATTTCGCCCGATCTGTGACTTGAACATTCGATCCATTAACCTTTGGTATGTTGCTCCTGCGTTCTTGAGCCCGAAAGGCATAACGACATAACAATACGTTCCTCTGCTCGTCACGAAGCTAACTTTGCTTTGATCCTCAGGAGCCAAAGGAATTTGATGGTACCCCTGGGACGCGTCCATCATGCTTAGCAATTGACAACCAGCAGTAGAGTCGACCAACTGGTCCATTCTCGGCAGGGTATAGTGGTCTTTTGGGCATGCTGAATTTAAATCGCGAAAGTCAATACACATGCGCCACTTATTCAGCGCTTTTCTTACCATCACTGTGTTCGATATCCATTCTGGAAATTGAATTTCTTTAATATGTTTGGCTTTCAACAACTTGTCCACCTCGACCTCTATGGCTTTGTCGATTTCCGCACCATGGTGTCTAAGCCGCTGCTTCACTGGCTTTTTCAGGGGGTCGACATTGAGCTTGTGCTCCATGACATCGGGGTCGATTCCTGTTAGCTCTTCAGGGGAGAAAGCGAATATGTCCCTGAATTCCTTTAGCAGCCCTACCAGTTGTCGACGTAATTCTTCTTCCAGTTCTCATCCTATTTTCGTAGTCTGCTCCTCTCTCTCCCCGATTTGGATTTCCATTAATTCCCCATGCGGCTCAAGATCACTTTCCCTTCGTCTTTTTTCATTTGAAACCGACCTTTTTCCTTCCTTCACCTCTATTCGCTGGTTTGTCCTTACTGCAATCTGGTAACAGGTTCTTGACAGCCTCTGGTCGCCTCGGGCCTCCCCCACTTTATCTCCGACAGGAAACTTCAGCTTCATATGATAGGTTGACACCACTGCTTGGAATGCGTTGAGTGCTGGTCTTCCCAAAATCACATTATAAGCCGACTCGACGTTGACCACGACAAATCTCACCATTTTCACCTTCCTTAAGTCGCCTTCCCCGAGGACAACAGCAAGAGTGGTTTCCCCCAGGGGGGCGACTTCCGAGCCATTGAATCCAAAAAGTGACGTGTGGAGAGGCGAGAGTTCAATATCGAGTTCCATCCGTTTAAGGCAATCAAAGAATATTACATTCACCGAGCTACCCGTGTCGACAAAAATTCTATGGACCTCGTAGCCCGATATCTGGGCTGTGAGCATCAAGGCATCGTTATGAGGTCTCTCAACTGCTCCTACGTCGGCTGGTCCAAAATTCATCACTGGACCATCCTCTTCGACCTGCTGCACTTCGGTCTTTCCAAGATGTCCTCGAGCATATGCTTTTCTAGCCCGATTTGAACCGCCATCGGTCGGCCCTCCAAATATCATATGAATTACTCCTCTTTTTTGGGGAAGCTCTTCCTTATCAGGTGTTCTCGCCCTCTTGTGAGGGCTTTTGCTCCTCTCCCTTCGTCGACTGGGTCGTTCTCGATCTTTATAAACGAACTCCTTCAAATGGCCTGCTTTGATTAGTCTCTCAATTTCATTTTTCAAGTGTCGACATTCATCGGTATTATGGCCGTAGTCTTTGTGAAATCGACAATACAGGTTACTTTTAGGTTTTGTCGGCCCGTCCTTCCTCGTTTGTGGCCACCTGACAACGTTGTCACGGATTTCTCTCTCCATAACCTCCAGTATCCTTGCCCGCGAGGTCGACAAGGGAGTATATTGGGCTGTCCTCCACCCCCTTGGTCGCCCCTCTCTCTCGGCTCTTGGGGATCCTTTCCTCTCAGTTGCCGCGACAAGCTTTTTGTCCTTCTTCTCGTCTCGAGGCTCATCTTTTGGCTTAGCCGCTTGCAGAAAGTCGGCTTCGGCTTCCTCGACATTCATGTATTTAGCGCACCTTCCCAATACTTCATCAAACGTCCTCCCGGGCCGCTTCGCTAGGGAATTCCTGCACAATCCTGGGAGTAGTCCTCGAGTGAGTCCTCCCGACTTGATCTCCTCAGTGGCCGAGGGGACGTCGACACATGCCCTTGTGTACCTCGCTACATAGTCCCTCAATGATTCCCCTTCCTTCTGTTGCATACCTATCAAAGTAAGGTACGATTTTTCTTGGGCTTTCACACTTGCGAATTGGTTCAGGAAACTCGAGCTAAATCCATCGAAATCCCTGACGGCCCCCGGGGGCAATTGATGAAACCAATCCTGCGCTGGCCCTCGCAGGGTCGTCAGGAATGCTCGACACTGAACGGGGTCGTTGTATCGGTGCAATACTGCCATGTTTTTGAAACTTCTAAGATGTCGGGAGGGGTCAGTCGACCCGTCATACCAGATATTAAGCTCCCTGATCCCTTGAGGCAAGTCAGCATCTAGAATATGTTGTGAAAAAGGGTGTCCCCTCGAGCTTCCCGTCTTCCTTCCTTCGACCCGATCCTGCAAGTCTCGGACCTGCGCTAACAGCTGCTCCAACGTGTCGTTTCTGGCTTGTGGATTTACGGTTCTGACAGAGGACTCCTCCTCGTCTATCCTCCTGTTTTGCCTTTCATGGGATTGTGCCTGTTGTTCGCGCTCGGGGGGTTGCTGCTCATTTTGGGGTTGTTCGACCCTCGCTTGTTCGGTCCTGGGCCGCTCGACCCTTGGTTGTTCGACTGGCGTCTGTTTGAGTTGGGCCGCTACTGCCTCCGCGATCATTCTCTGCATCTCGCTTCTCGTCATGGTCAGCGTTTGTTCCTCGCCTTGGGGCGGTGGCCTTGCCTCCTGGTCAAGTTGTCCAGGTCGCCACCCCATCCTTAGAGAGATTTCGGTTGATGCGTGATCACCTACCTTTCCGCTCGTGTCCCTCACGTGGCTGGCCTCCCCCTGAGTGAGAACCGGGATCTTGACTCCGGGTGGGGTAATAGGCGTCTCTTCTCCCGTACGCCCTCCTGACGGCGCGTGTGCCCCAAAAGGTGGGAATCCCAGCACCTGGAGCGGTGGCCTAAAGCTGGGAATCGGCGGAGGTCGCTTGTCCGTCCATGTTGCCCTGAAATCCTCATTCAAGTTTTTCTGCACTCCTTCCTTCTCAGCCATTGTAAACAGACCAAAGATAGGTGTAAAGCTCTTAATTGCTTCAAGAGCTCCCCACAGACGGCACCAAAATGATGGGTCTCTTCTCAGATCTGGAACGGTCCAATGGGAAAACGTCCGGATCTGGGATGAACCGATGTAAAAGAGCTAAGATCTGATGTGATGACGTTCGAACCGTTGTTGAGCCGCAAGAACACCTGCAAGAACTCAACGCCGGAGGGGTTTCCGGCGCAGAGCCTCCGACGCTCAAGTCAGTATGTGAGAGAGATGATAGAGGCTGCTATGGAGAGCAGCATCAGTAATGAAAAGGGTATGGAATGAATGGGAGTTAGGGTTTTGGGATTACCTCAGCCCTTTATATAGGAGTGCAATGTTTACCTGAAGTCCCCAAAGTGCCCCGGCCGACTTGATGGAAATGTCCAGAATGCCCCGGTCGGTTCATATTCTGCCTTCCTCCTAGTCAGCATCTAGATCCTTCTTTAGCTTCCTTCTTATCCTTAACTCTTCTTCAATATGTTGAGGTGTGTCAAAGCTATCTAGAACCACGGACCGCGAGCCTCCTTCAGTCGACCTGAGATATTGAGTCGAGTGGACTAGGTCGCATTCAACTGTTTGTGGATCCTAATACGTCTGACCGTTGTCTTTGCCAGAGGTCGACTTATCCTAGTCGACAGGTGTACGTTGACTCGGTCGAGAGCCGGGATTCTTGCCTGAGTATCATGGAACCTTGCTGGTCAAATCGACTGTTGTCGAAGTCGACTTGATAATTTCGAACCGTGATGATTATTGAACCGTTTCACGACAGTATGGCTATATCAGTAGATCTAACAATAATATAAGAGTACTTCAAAAAAGAATGAATAATCCTAAACAGTAGATAAAATCTTATTTTAATTATGGAGGCAAAAGCCTCGACAAGTATACATTACCTAGAGGCTTCAAAACACATATGCAACTAATGGAAAACATTAAACTTACGCAAACTATAAATTAAATCCCAAGAAATAAAATATATAATGTCAATCTAAAAAACTATGAACAACATATAAAATAGTAAATAATATAAAATTAAATTTAAACTTCAATGTCATCACATCCTCCTTTGTCGTCTTTGATCAAATTTCCATCATCGTCAACCTTTGCTTTTCCTTTATTGCTTGTAACCGACTCAGCAGCAAATTGATCAGAAAGGTTCCATTTTGCAATTGAATTTTCCCCAACCACATCCTTCGGATGAACAACCTTCAATGGGGTGGACACCTAATCTTCCAACTTAGGAGCCTACAATAATTAAAATTTAAATAGATTATTATTTTTTATGTAATGATTGATAATTGTAGAATAACAAAACCTTTGTGATAGGTAATTTACCACTCCACTCGCAGTTTCCTCTCTTTGTAAAAGAGTCAAGAAATCCGATTCCTAGGAAAAAATAATACATGGATAAATTACAAATACGTTATTGAAAAGATACACATAAAAAATTATTTGTAAAATTCGAGAAACAAAAGGGACTTACATCATATTGCACGACCCATTGGCTATACTTGGAAACCAAGTGTTCATCAATAACAACTTTAAAGACAGAGAATGAATTCTTGTAAGGATGGCTTAATGCGAACCTTGAAGAGATATGACCTCCCCGTTAACTCATCAAGTTCGTCGGGAAGTTCAAAGATGTCTTTCCTCTCCTGACAAAATTAAAAATTTATGTCACATTCGAATTGTATGTATGTAATAATACTTATACATGTCAATGATAAAATGGAGTCTACCTTTTGGTTATATTCTCGTTTCAATATATCACAAGTTTTCCCAACAATATTCTGACAATCTTATCCCAACAAACAAAAGTTGTACTGCGGAAGCATCGAAAACACCAAATTAAATTTTGTACCTAGATATGAAACAAATTATGAGTGAAATATGCAAATTATACAGTTCATATAACATATATTTCATATATACATATGAAAAAAAATAATACAACTAGTGTTCACAAACCGGAATGTGACGCGAGTATGAGAGCACTTCTGGCATGTATAGCTCCCATTATCATTCTCCATCGAGCAGTTGCATCTCGCACATGCAAGGTACCACCAATAGTCTATAATAGAATCAATTGTCGCGCAAACCCAAGTGTCCATTGGCTAGAAAGACAATTATTTCAATTTCAATAATAATTAAATTGTTGATGTTCCAACTTATTGCTAATAACATAATTAATATTAACTCAGCATACTCAATAGAGAATCAACAGAACTAACAATGATGTCACCGTCATCAAGACTTTGAAGTTCGGTCTTTACAATGATTGAGCTACTTGAAACCAACTTGGTATTCTTAATTTGACTTTTCGCCAGTCTTGTAGACATTAAAAAAAAAATCACATCACATTAAAATAAAAAGTTTTTATATACAATGGTCAAAAAAATTGTATCTATAATCTAACAAATAACATATACCTTCTCCGAAATTCTTGAATTTCTGGAACGTCCACGCCAATGATCAAGGTCACATCCTTTGACGTGGTTATTTGAACATCACTTATTACATAAAATATTTTAATACCCAATCCAATAGACATAGACAATTATTAGTATAAATCTAATGGACGAATATCATTTTTATTGAAAAAATAATGAAATACAATCGAAGATAACCTCTCCACTCTCTTTCACAGAACATATGCATGATGATGACAAAAGGTGACCCATCATTTTCATAATGATGCTCCAAAGCAACCAACTGATCAACATATCGCCTCCAAACAGTGCATTCCTTATATGCCCCCTAGAAAATGTAGACAAAATATCGATTTATTACATTGAAAATCGGAAATAGGAAATTGTTTTTATAAGCATGAAATCGGATTGCTAATTTTTTTTTTAATTAATTCAGAAATCGTAAAAAATAAATCAGAAAGCAGAATTTTTTGTTATAAAATTATATTTGATTGTTAAATTTTTTTTAATTAATTCGGAAATCGCAATAAAAATGAAATAGGAATTTTTGTATTAAACCAAAAATTGGAAATGTTTTGTTAAATCGGACTGATCTCTTATTTTTTTTAATTAAACCGCAAATCGGAAATTTACTTTCAACAATAATCGCTTACTTTTTTTTAAAAAAAATTAATAAAAAAATCAGAAATCAGAAATATTTAAAATAACCAATCGACACAATATCTTTTAGCACAAATTTAACTAAAAAAACATCATATAAAAGATTTCAATAAAAAAAGATAAATATATAGGGTACATATGCTTACTCCAAGTCCATAATAGAGAATACTATCATGTGTGTCGGAACTCCCTTGACAACTTTGATTTGAATAGGTTGTATTGAAACAACCAATCCAATAATATATATACCATCATAAACAAACGAATTTTATTTGAAATGTAACATATAAAAAAGTGTTGTATATTACTGAATCTATATATATCTAAAAATAAAATTACGAATCTATACATAAAAGAATGTTAATGTGCCAAACAACATGGCTTCTTCAATATTACGAACATCCATCAAGGTTAGGAAGTTTCTAAACTCAAAACGATGCATTGGAAAATCTCCCTTCCATTTGACAATCTTGGTCATGCCATGGATGATGATCCTCCATTTTCCTATAGTGATTTGTAGAGGCCAATATTGCTTTCAACTTGATAGTTGGTCAAGACATACTTTCCACCTTTTTCAATATCGCCAATGAATTTTTGAATATTCACAGGACGAATTATGCCAGTAATTCGTAACCCCTACGACAATACATATTGAATAATTGCATTGAATAGTTTAATAAACACAATTATATAAATTTAAATTTAAATTTCAATGCTTTATGAACGTGTAATATGTTACCTCAGAATCGTGAAAGATAATTTCAAGAATATTTCGGTAATTGCGCACGTCTAAATTTAAATTTCAATGCTTTATGATCGTGTAATATGTTACCTCAGAATCGTGAAAGATAATTTCAAGAATATTTTAGTAATTGCGCACGTCTTTAACTCGTTGGAACATCCGTAGCTTGATCGACGACTTATTGGATCTTTGGATATCCTTGATGACTCCAAAACTCAAAGGCATTTTGAGTGATGTTGTAAAAGCTTTGTAAAAAAATAGTATTGTGAGATGTATTGGATGTCGAATGTTTTTTGTTCAATTATGGTGATGTTTATATAGTCAATTGTATGTAATATACACAACTCACGTGGGTTTCATAGTCAATATCCGATAAGATTTTTTTTAAAAAAATTTGATTATGATTATGATTCCTTAAATAAAAATGAGTTTGTTATAAGAAATCCCGCGGATGTGTGATTCATTAACCAAAAGGAGTT